TCTGTCCTTCTTCACTGATTTTCAAGGCAAATTTCATACTGCAGTGTTGAAAATTTTGCTGTGAGTGTTAACACTCTCTATGGACATGCAGCTCTACAAAATATATCAATCAAAGCCTATGCTTATTCAAGCTTTCATTAAAAAAAAAACAACAGTGGCAGTTAATTATGTTTTGCTTTTGCTCTGCCAAAGAGGGGCAGAGGTAAAGGTCAGAAGCTGGTGTCCTTATCAGCACTAAGTAAAGTCTCTTGAGGTTTGGCTGTTTGATAAGATTGGGCAGAGACATTAGGTGGAGAGGCTCAGTGGGAGTTGGTCTTTAATGACAGCTCATATCCTGTGTCCTCATTTCCTGCTGGCCTGGGAGGTGACTAGAAAAAGTTACTGCCTGGCTATGGACTACTTGGTTTCTGTGGGGAATGGGCTTCTCCTCATTCTCAGCTGCCACATCATTTAAAAGATAGCTATGAAGGTATATAATGATTTAGTAGTGTATTTCATTAGCCCAGTCTCGTTATTGTTGCATCCATTGTTGTGGAGGAAGGCATGGCAAACAGTACCAATCAATATGGGATGGAAGATTTTTCTTTGTGTAGCTAATCTATTGATGTGTATTTTGCAGCCCAGGATAATTTGATTGGCTGGGATTTAGCAGTAATATTCAGGGACATCATTTATATAGGTGAAACAATGGCTATCTGACAGTAAAGAAGTCTGTTGTTCCATTCCTGTCTGTACTCCTGGAGGACAGTAGATGTAGGAGCTGCCAGTACAAGGATAGTCCACTTTAAAACAATTGACTTAAAAGACCTGCAAAGAGAAGAATGCTTGTACAGCTTCCCTGGATTGCCATGTCAGAAAAGGACCTGAGCTCTTGGGATCAATTTACTGTAATGTTGAAATAATCTTCCTTGTTTTCATCCTCAAACATAAGCAAATGTCTCTCTTTGGAGAATATTTGTCAAGGAGCCCTCTGCTCCCTGTCCATGACAGGTAGGACTCTGCTTCCTCACACACAAGGCAGGGACTTGTGGTGCCTGTGCTGTTTTCCTTTTCCACACCTGCTGTCTCCTGCTCTGTGAGTGTTTGCAGAGCCAGCAGGGCGGACCAGGGAGTGACAGCAGCAGCTGTCGGGTGCTGTGGCAGGAATGTGGACCCATCTCTCCTAAGGATCAGCTTCCCACCCTTGGCTCCTGCCTGCCAGGAAGGTAAGCCTGCTTCATATGCTCTGTAGCTCTGTCATGCTCTTGATTTCTGCAGGGATCCTGCCATGGAATGCCAGCTCAAAATGCTGTTGGGGTTCTGTGATTCCAGGCGTGTGCATGTGACCTGAGGTAGCACAGGGAATGCTTGCTGGCAGGGCAGGATGGGGCTGAGAGAAGGGAGAGCACCAGAAATAACCTGGGAAGCTCAGCTTCTGCTGGACTGGCGCTTACAGAGGCACTCTGCTGAGTTTGGTGCTTGTTGTTACTTTGAACTTTTTGATTGAAGTGTGGGACAGAAATGATCTCCACATTAGAGCTTTAAAAATCACTGTGAGAGTAATTTCTGTATTAGTCTTAGGGTTTTTAACTGGTAAATGTGACTTACGTAGATGGTTTTCAACTGAGTATGGTCTCATTGACCACATCAGTATTAGTATAATCAGAATTAATACTTCTGTTGAATTTTTATGATGTGTCTGATGCTGAGTAAATAAAAGCTACAGGCTTAGGAGAGCAGAAGTGCAGATGTGTGACGTGTGGTGCAGCCACTGGCTGGCAGCCCTGGGCTGCTGCTGAGCCAGGCTGAAAATGAAAATGTGCAAATTTAAAGAATTGCAGGAGCCACAAGAGTGAAAACACAGCTGAGTGTGACACACAAACTTCATGATTTCATCACAAGCATTCACTTGCTTCCTTCTCCAGGAACAGCAGATCAAATAAGCATAGAAAGCACATCTGTTTAAGTGCCTTATTTATACAATACTGTTATTTGGGATATTCAGCACTTGCATCTTACAAGAAAGCCCACAGCCTTCTCCTCCATCAGCTTCTTCTCTTGGCCTCTTGCTTTTTTTCTCTTCTCCTGCTCTGAGAAGAGAAACAGGTGTCAAGAGATGAATAACTGTAATAAAAAGAAGCAATTGGAAATAGCACAGTAATTTAGGCAATGTCTAGAACGTGCTTTTTACTTTGCACCTGTTTGCCCTGTTTCCCCTTGTGAAATAAAACAGGAAATACACAGTTACTAACAGTGTCTCAGGAAGTTCTTGGAGTAGAATAACCATTATTTCTCTGTAGGAATACAAAATGTACTATCATGATTGTATCAAACCATGGTCTTTCCTCAGGTTTGGTGAGGAAATGCCATGCTGAGCAAGGTGTGGTAGATAATAAGGTGATGCCAGCTTTTCTATGCTATCTCCAGGGTCCTTATATAATAGCATTTGGGCTACAGAAGAGCTCTGCATCCACTGTTTCCTGGGCTCCTTGATTTTAGTGTGAGGGCATGAAGTTTGGTGTCATATTCTCTTGCATTCATAGCCTTTTTTTCATGTTCCCATCTCCAATGCAGTTTGCTCCAAGTGCCTTGCAGTTGCACGGGCAGCAGCATGATGCATCCAGAATATGAATTTCCATTCATGAGAAGTGGAGATTCTCAAGTGAATGCTTTGGATGCTGTTACAAGAATGTTAATGGGAAACCTACTTGTGAAATGATATACTCTCACCACTATCTTATGTTAAAATTATTGAGTACAGTTCACGCCATAATCAATTCCTTGTGTCTTTCTGTAGCGATTGTTTTCGATATCAAAGGGTGAGCTGACACATGAAAACAGTATTGGACCATGCAAGTAAAGCCTATAAACATATTTGAATATTAAGTTCTTGGGTAGTTAGGATGAGTACTAAGTTACATGCTACATAAACAGCAGATAAAAGCCTGCCATTGCTTGCCTGTATACCTCTCGAGTCCTGCATTGCTGGTTTCTTCACCACTGAGAGCCTGCTCTCTTACCAGCATGGATATCTGTTCCCCAGCCCAAGGAGGAAGTGACTCCCTTGGGAGCTGCTGTTTGGAAGCCTGCTGACACCCAGGGTGTCCCAGCTACCAGAGGGACAGGGCTGGGAGGGCACGCAGCTGAATGTGCCCACCTGAGCTGCTCCTGCCCTTCTCTGTCAGTTAAAACCATTGCAAATGGACTTCATTGCAAATGAAGATTCAGGGGGCTGGAGGGGCTTCAGGTTCTTCACCTGCACTGCAGGAATGGTCAGTAATGTAAGCAGCAGTGTAGTGCAAGCTGCTGTTTGGAGCCCACTAAAGACCTCCTTTGAGGTCTTTAAGTGGTGCAAAGCCATTATGAAGTCCCTTGTCACAGGGATAACTCTCAGCCTCACAAAAAGATTATGGAGATATGAACTTCTTATTACTGTTTGCCTTCCCACTGAAGAGTGGAGAACTGCAGCTCTCCTCTGGGTATTATGTCACTTACTCTTGCTCCTTTTGTTCCAGCATTTCCAGGAGACACAGTGGGGTGTATTTTTACTTCATGACATCAAGCTCATATTTTTTCCCTCTGTTGCAGCAGCCCTTGCAGATTTGACTGCTTCTTTGCATTTGCCTTGCCATATTTACTCTTCTGATGGCTGTCTTATACTTCTGAAAACACAGGTAAAATAAAGGCTAAAGAAAACAATTGTCACTGAAGTAACTTTGTTCTGAAGAATGTTTCAGAACAGGAGCAGTCTAAGGTTTTAGCAGCTTTTCATATATGAGGTATAAAGACTGCTGGGAGATGACTGGCTGCCTTTTCTTCCTATTCAAGGCTCTAAAGATCACGTGAGTATTGCGTCTCTAAAGAAACATGCAGAAAGGAGTGTGCCTAGTTAGGGCTCTTGAAAAATTATAGATGAAAAATGGTTCAAAATTTATTTATTAATTTATCCTATCTGCTTATTTATCTATTTTATGAGAGTCTTCTTTTACCAATGTGTTGACAGGAAGAGGTGGAAAGGATGTGTGTTTACTGGGGATTTAGTGAGATGCTTAAACACCCAGCTTTAGAGCATGTCTAACGAACCACAGATTACCAGAGAGCACATTCTTCTTTAAGAGTAGGAAACATTTTCTGTGTTACTCTGTGTCTCCATGCTTCCCCTTCCCTTGCAGGTACATGCAGAGCCAGGCTTATGTGTGAATCACGCCTTAGACAACGTGAGCCCAGCTGATGTGGCAACAGAGGGGTGTGTTGTAAACCTTGGCATCCTCAGCAGAGCTGCTGAGAGGTTCCTCCAGCCCTGCAGTTTCTAACATTGGCCTCCTGACTTTGTCACTGTGAACCAGAGCCAGGTTATTCTTCAACAGTCAAGTTACAAACTGCACAGCCACCCTCGTGTGGCTGTCAGCTCCACGCTACTTGTTCACTGGTCATTTCTTCACAGTGCCTGATTTTGCATTTCAAAAGTGCAAGATGTCACTCTGATATTAGGATAGGAGAGTACTCTGTGCTTGAGGGAATGTGGGGATAGCTCAGTCCCAAACACTCAACAGGGAAAGATCAATAGTTATAGTGAAACACTGTTTTAAAGTGCTTTTCTGGATGCTTTTGCCTTAGCATAGCACATGTGAATTATATTCATTATTTTGCTTGCTCTGTGAACTCAAGTTAGTGCTACTGAGACACAGCTATTAATTTTCATGGACTTTTTTGGTATGAGCTTTTGGGATAGAGAGGAAAAAGGAGAGAGTGAATGGTGCTGGTAACCAAAATCCATCCTGAACAATCTGCTGTGATAGCAGCCCAATGTTTATTGTTATCAGAGGCAGCTGTCTGCCCTCTCTCCACACTTCTATTTGTGGAGTTTTGATGGCTATAAATGGAAACACACGCTGACCAGAAATCACCACGGTGCTCCTGATACTTTTCTGTCCTGAGTCCAAAAGTGCAGGGATATCTAACATGTAGTCAGGTTGAATCACTTCTGCTCAGGATATTAGGTGGTTTTATTCCTCTGGGAAATGGAGTTAGGAAAACATGAAAGCAAAGCCTCAGGAAGAGAAGCTTTAGAGGAAAAGCAAATGGTAAGATATGTTGAGAAATGTTGATATTTTAAATTTTTAAAAATCTAATTATAAGCAGGAAAATAAATAATCCATAGTACTATATAGGAGTATTTCCTGGCTTCCTTTAACCACTGACCTTGAAGATTAAAACTTCATTCATGTATATTAAATTAATTATGACAGTGCATTTCTGTGGAAATTATGGAAATTTGTGAATTTATTTTGTGTGCATGTGAAATGCCAAAACTGAAATGTGGTTAAACTTTGTTATCATAACCCAAACGGATAGCTAATATCATTGATTTTCTTGTATTTTTCTTAAGGGACTATATCTTTGCACATTATGTTCCATAACTTTAGATCAGTAAATGGCAGAAGAAATTACTTGTGTCTGGAATGAATCTGAAACTTACTGAAAAAAGGTATGACTAAAACAAATTATTAAGAGAAAGTGAAAACAGTCAAAACACAGCTTATTCCTAATTAGCTGAGGCTTGCAATGCAATTTGTGATTTGCCTTGCATTAATGAGTTTTTTCCTTGATATCACAAAAAGGGCAGTTTATTCTTGGCTTTGCAAAGCTTTGAAGAAAAGTGGTCATCACTCTTGCTAAGAAACAAATTAGCACTGAATTTTTTAGCACTTAAATGGTGGTATTGCATTGATTTGGTTTCTTAGTGGGCCAATTTTTATTCCTATTTAATCACAATGTTGGCCTCTACCAGCCTCAGTTAAATTAGTTTTGGCAAGCTTGTGTGTTAGTTAACAGTTTTCAATATCACTTCACCAAGGCAAGTGCATTAGGAAATAAGGAAATAATAAAAGCACTAAAACTGAAAGTAATGACCTCGTCTTATAGTACCTTTTCTTTAAAAAAACACTGTTTATCTAAAGAGTAATATCTGAAAGAGCATTGCTAAAGCTTCATTGCTTAAGTTCTAATGGGAATATTATTTATTGTTTTAATTGTTCATTTTCTCATTAATCAATGAATGAATTCTTTAGACAGTGGCCGAATTTTCAATTTGTGGCTGATATATAAAATATAAGGAAAACATCAAAATTAAAAACAAGTATAAAATCCACTTGATCTTTAAGGAAGGTTTTGAAGGAAACCTTTGACATTTTGTTCTAGCTCATGCAAAGAGAAAATACATAGCAATTTAATCAGCCTGTATGGTTATCTAATTGCAGACCATATCCTCATGCACGAAGAATTGAGCAGCCAACCTTAAGTAAGGCTTTTCCAGAATGCAGAGTGCTTCATTTGGAACACTAATGATCTGCTGTTGACCTTCTTTGTGTGCATCATTTACTAATTTTAAGAAGAGCAAACTGGAGCAAGCAGGGCCCCCGCTGATGGGAGCCGTGCTCACGCCCATGTCAGGTCACACTCTGTTCAGTAATTTCCAGACTCAATCCTCCCAACACGTTGAGCTGAGAGTGTCCCTGAGCAGTGGCAGGTCACGCTCCTGTGGGTGCTCAGTGAGGGGATAGAGCTGTCTTGGCTCAGGGGGTTTCACAGCACGCTGTTGACACTGGAGGAATGCCTCTGCTCTGTCCTCCCAGCCCCTTCTTCCCTGTCCCCTTCCAGCTGAGCCCCAGCCTCCTCTACTTCCCACCTCAAACTGCCTCTCCCTGTTCAGTCTTAATGCCTTTCTTTCTGTTTGCTAGATTGATTTCCATTTGCCCCCCACATTTTTTCCCTAGTTTTGCATCTCCTGGATTTTTATTCATTCTGCTCTTTACTCTTAGTTACATGCTGGTCAGGTCAACTGACTGCATGGGAGCAGTGTCAGTCTGTGGTACAGATGCTATTTGTACATGCTCTGGTGGATGTCTGTTCACATATTTAACTTCAGTAGAGCAAATACATACACTGTTCCATGCTCTGCTTCCAACTCCTGTGCTGCCTTTTTGCACTTCACCTCAGTTGCAAACTCTCTCTTTTGCCACACTGGTGTCCTGATAAGTCTGCTTGTATTCCTGAATCATGAGCAGCCTTGCATGTGTGAGAGGTTGTTTTCAAGGACATGACAGCTTTCCCAAATTCCCTGTGTTTCCAAGCTGCCTTCTACAGTATCCTGCTTACCATCTGTCTCCTGGACAGGCTGAAGTCAGTTTTCCTAAAGCCCAGGGTGTGTGTTTTGGTACTTGTCTTCCTCAGTTCCCCACAAGGTCTTGGCCTCACTATTTCACAGTCACTACAGCCCAGCCTGCCACTGAGTGTACACATCCACAGCCACTTCTTCCTGGTTTGTGAATAACAGATCCAGCTGGGTGTGACACTGCTTGGCCCATCCTGTGCCCACATCAAGTAGCAGTACTTGATGCCCTGTAGAAATTGTCTGCATTGCTTGTGAGGTGCCATAATGCCATTTCGTTCTCTGCAGGTGTCACAAAAGCTTAAGTCTCATGTGAAAAAACCCAAAAAAACGGGTGTGCAGTCCAGATACTTTCTTGAGTTGTTTAAAGAAATTGTTGTGAGGAGCTCTCTCCACTTTCTCACCCCTTCCATGCTGTCTGTAGCCCAGTCCCACTGTGATGCCACCCTCACTGACCTCTCCTCTGATCCTGACCCACAAGCACTCAGCCAGCCCTGTTGTTCAAGCTTACAAACATTCTCCACATTTTAGCTGCTGCTTCACGCAGAGATTGTCTTCTTTTCCCTGCCTTTCTGAAGAGCCTGTGTCCCTTTGCAGCACTATAGCCATGTGAGCTATCCCACCACATCTGTTATTTCTGTAATGTGGTAGTTCTATGACCTGTATATATTTGTGTGTGTAAGACCAATCTTGGGTTTGTATGCCTTGTTACAAATATTTTCTAGCTATTTTCAAAAGAACAAAGTCTATGTCATCTTGAAAATACTCTGATTGTAGCATGTCAATCAAACAGCGTTCATGCTCAAAGTCTAACACAGAAGACAGCATCACAGACAGTTTTCTGAAGTGGTATTGTACCTTTACATTCACTGCTTACTGTGCATGAGATAAATACTATAAAATTCTCTACCACTTCAGGCTATTTCACATAATATTTGTGAAATTTATTGTTAAAGAATTCTTATCCTTGCTTCCTGGAGGAAGACTCAGCAGCCAGGATGAGAGAGTCTGAGAGTCTTTGTGTGGAGCTGACTGTGAGAATGGAAGATAATGGAGGGCCCATTTTGTGAAGGGAAAATAGAATGACTCACTATAAAATAGATTGGACTAAGTAGATGGACATATGTGCCCTTTTTAGAGCTTTGATAGCTCAGAAGGACCCAATAATTCCAAAGTTTCCCCTACTGAAACAATGGCTCACCTCAAAATACTCTGTTTTCATTCTGAAGTCCTCATCCTTTAATGCATATTGCCTTATTTGAATATATTTTAATTATATTTAACACTTGTCTCTTTCCTATTTGATGTCTTCTCTCCCCATGAAAAACAGCACTATTGCATTTAAAATGTTTACATTGGTATATTTAATGGGGAACATTTAGTCTTTGTACTTTAGTTTGCATTTTAAGGGTTTTTCTTTACTTTCTTCTTACATGGAGTAGCAACAAAGAACAGTTCTATAGAGAAAATAGATCAACCAAATGGATATGTGAATCAGAAAGGATGCCATGCACTCCTTAAAAGGTTAGGTTTTGAATGATAGAGTTGCAGGACTTCATTCAGAGAATTAGCTTTGCTTTTCACAAACAGTATGTGGATACAGCTTTACAGAGCAGGGCCATTTGGATCAAACCAGTGCAAGTGAAGCAATGGTTCATCTTTGTATTCTGGTAGCAACATCAGAAGTCCTGTCGATATCAGGCCTTCTCCATGGCAGGTGTGGGAAGTAGAGATTCCTTGAAGAAGGCAGCCTGTTTCCTGAAGTGTGCTGCCTCAGGGAGCCCAGGCAGAATGAGGATGGTGACTAATGAGGTGATGGCAGGTCCTGCTTGCAGGTTTTGTTGTTGATTTAATGACTGTAAACCAGGTGAGAAGCGAGTATGAGATGGGAAGGGTTGTTTGAAAAGCAGCAGATAAGGGAGCTGCGTGGAGGCTGGTGGGATTGGCAGGGCAGGAAGCGCTGGGTACAGCTGTGCCTCCGTGGAAAGAAACCCTTCTGCCAGGTCACCCTCAGTGCCATGAGGGCTGGGGTCAGGCATGGCAGCACTCCTGGGGTCAGGGATGGCAGCACTCCTGGTGTCAGGGATGGCAGCACTGCTCCTGGGGTCAGGGATGGCAGCACTCCTGGTGTCAGGGATGGCAGCACTGCTCCTGGGGTCAGGGATGGCAGCACTGCTTCTAGGGTCAGGGATGGCAGCACTCCTGGTGTCAGGGATGGCAGCACTGCTCCTGGGGTCAGGGATGGCAGCACTCCTGGTGTCAGGGATGGCAGCACTGCTCCTGGGGTCAGGGATGGCAGCACTGCTTCTAGGGTCAGGGATGGCAGCACTCCTGGTGTCAGGGATGGCAGCACTCCTGGGGTCAGGGATGGCAGCACTCCTGGTGTCAGGGATGGCAGCACTGCTCCTGGGGTCAGGGATGGCAGCACTGCTTCTAGGGTCAGGGATGGCAGCACTCCTGGTGTCAGGGATGGCAGCACTGCTCCTGGGGTCAGGGATGGCAGCACTCCTCCTGGTGTCAGGGATGGCAGCACTGCTTCTAGGGTCAGGGATGGCAGCACTCCTGGGGTCAGGGATGGCAGCACTGCTCCTGGGGTCAGGGATGGCAGCACTGCTCCTGGGCTGCTGGAGTCGCTTCTTTGCCCGGAGCAGGCCCCATGGGCAGTCTCTGCCGCGCTCCCTGGGTGTGCAGCAGGCAGGTGTGCTGTGGCCAGAGGTGTGCTAAGGCTCCGTGGGACGCCACAAGGAGGGAGGAGGAGCTGAGGGAAGAGTGAGTGTTTGTCCCACCTGGACAATGGGATCTTCTTTGGCACAGCAGAAATCTCCATGTCTGAGGAGCAAAGGTTAGTTTGATAATTCGGTGCTGAAGTTGGAGTATCATGCTTATTTCATGGCATAAAATGAAATAAACACA